CACCTGGAATATTGTGTCCAGTTTTGGGCCCCTCGCTTTAAGAGCGATATTGAGCTCCTGGAGCGGGTCCAGAGAAGGGCAACTAAACTGGTCAAGGGGCTGGGAATAAAACTTATGAGGAGAGGCTGAGGGAGTTGGGGCTGTTTAGCCTGGAGAAGAGGAGGCTGAGGGGAGACCTGATTACGGCCTATAAATACTTGAGAAAAGATGGTGGGGAGGTAGGGGAAGGACTCTTTACATTAGTGATGGGTGATAGAACAAGAGGAAATGGGCATAAGCTTAGTCAGGGGAGATTCAGGTTGGATGTTAGGAAGTATTTCTTCTCTGAAAGGGTTGTCAGCCACTGGAATAGGCTGCCCAGGAAGGTGGTTGAGTCCCCATCCCTGGATGTGTTTAAGGATAGGGTGGATGAACTACTTAGGGAAATGGTTTAATGGGAGATTAGGGACGGTTGGACTGGATGATCTCTAAGGTCTTTTCCAACCTAGAAATCTATGAAATTTGAAATAACACAGAGCTCTTACCCAATAGGCATCCCTACGGGGAGGGGAAGGAAGAGAGGTCCAGCCCGTTGACTGATCCCAGACATTCCGATGGAGGTCTTCCTCAACATCCCCTTTCTCTTAAACCATTTTTGTACTTTTTGATGAGGCTTGAGTGACTGGTCAAGTGTGTCTTTGTCAGGATTGGTGCAAATTTTCCTCGCTTCAATTTAAAGGTGCAGACAAGGAGAAATTCAGGACACATGCTCAGTGGAGGGTTTTCACAGCCTGGAGGCAGGTAGCTTTTGGGATGGAGGTATGTTTTGGTATTCTAATGACATTATAATGAGCAAAGTTCACCCCAAAGGCCAGCCATTTGGCAACTTGTTGAATATCGACATGGACATGGAGCTGCTGGTGCGGGTCCAGAGGAGGGCCACGAAGATGATCCGAGAGCTGGAGCACCTCTGCTATGAAGACAGGCTGAGAGAGTTGGGGCTGTTCAGCCTGGAGAAGAGAAGGCTCCGGGGTGATCTTATTGCAGCCTTCCAGTACTTAAAGGGGGCCTGCAGGAAAGCTGGAGAGGGACATTTTACAAGGGCGTGTAGTGATAGAATAAGGGACAATGGATTTAAACTGAAAGAGAGGAGATTTTGATTAGATATAAGGAAGAAATTTTTCACTCAGAGGGTGGTGAAGCACTGGACCAGGTTGCCCAGAGACATTGTGGATGCCCCATCCCTGGAAGTGTTCAAGGCCAGGTTGGATGAGGATTTGGGCAACCTGGTGTAGTGGAGGGTTTCACTGCCCATGGCAGGGAAGTTGGAATTAGATGATCTGTAACATTATCACTTGAAATGCTATTTATTGGAGCTAACAATATAAAGAAAATTTGGATGATGTAGGTAATCCTATCTCCTTTCAGATGCTGGGAACCCTGAGCCATGCAACATCAAACAGACCTCTAATCAGGGAACAGTATGCTGTGCAGATCCATCTGTGGAAATGTTAACCATTTTTGGTCACTCCAGCTACTAAAAGATTTTCTTAAAAGGGAAAAATTCTACCCAGCGCTACTGTAAAACAGGAAGGATGTTCAAATAAGAAGTTCTCGCGGCACTTTTAGGGGAAGGCAGACACACAAGCGTAATTACAAGTAGCAAGTGGAAGCTATTGCAGGCTATACTGTTAAATTCAACTGGCAAAGTTTATCATAGAATCATAGAATGGCATAGGCTGGAAGGGGCCTCAGAGATCAACTAATCCAGCCTCCTTGTCATGGGCAGGGACGCCTCTCAACTAGATCAGGCTGCTCAAGGCTCTGTCCAACCTGGCCTTGAACACCTCCAGGGAGGGGGCATCCACAACTTCGCTGGGCAATTTATTCCAAAGTCTCACCACCCTCGTACTGAAGAATTTCTTCCTAAGATCTAATCTAAATCTTTTCTCTTTCAACTTAAACCCATTTCCCCTTGTCCTATCAGTGGGCACTCTTGTAAAAAGTCCCTCCCCAGCCTTCCTTCAGGTATTGGAAGGCAGCTATTAGGTCCCCCTGAAGTCTTCTCTT